TCCTTCTCTCCTTCTCTCCTTCTCTCCTTCTCTCCTTCTCTCCTTCTCTCCCCTGCACGTCACCAGGGCCGACATGAAGTCCACCAACTGCGACGCGCGGCTGGCCAAGTTGGCGAAGGCCATCGCCGAGCAGCGCGTGCAGATGGAGCGCCTGCAATCCTCGCGCATCATGTCCCGGTCGCCGTCGCCCCTGCCGCCGGGTGGGGCCCGGTCTCGCTCCGGGTCTATGCACTCGCTGAAGGGCCAGGGCCCGGGGTCCTCTTCCTCGTCATTGGCCGGTGCCGGGAGCAGCGCGCCCCTTTACTCGTCGCCCCTGTCGCCGCCATCGGCCTCGATGGTGGCCGACACCTCGGCGTCGGACTCCTCGCTGCCCGGGCGGCTGCATCTCTTCTCGCGCAAGGCTTCGCGCATGTTTTCCTCCTCCTCCTCTTCCTCGTCGCTGTCCGGCGGCAGCCCGGGCCCGGGCGGGGCCATTTCGCCCCCCACGCCGGCGGCGGCGGCGGCGGCGGCGGTGGCGTCCGCCGGCGCGGGGCATTCACCCGGTGGGGGCCTCCCGACAGCCGGCGGTAGCCCGGCCGGGTCGTCCCCCAGCGCGCCGGCCATCACCGTCAATGAGGAGGCCGCCTCGCCGGGGCCGATTGCCACCGGGGGCCCCGGTGGGCGGACCTTCTTCCGGCCCTTCGGCGGGCGATTCTTGCACTTCGGCACGGATCGCAGCGCCGGGACCGCGGCCCAGCCCGGGGTCCTGCCGGTGCTGGCCACCGACGACGGGTCGCAGGACCTGGTCACCGAGGACGAAGGGTGGGGCTCGGCCTCGGAAGACAACGACATGCTGTCGCAGTACGACTCCATCAGTGACATCGAGAAGATCGAGGTCTACGCGCTGGAGGGGATCAACCTGGACAGCCGTGGCTTCGGCGACGCGGTGTACAAGTGCGCGGACTTGATCCGCAGCGTGGAGGCGGTCCTGGTGTCCTACAGCTACGACTCGTCGGCGCCGACCCCGATGTCGCGGGCGCTCGCATCGGACATGATGGCCCCGTCGAATGTGGTGCAAACGATCATCCTGACCTTTGGCCGGCGTGTGTTGCACGTTGTGCGTTGGCTGCCGCTTCTCTGCCTCTTTCTCTCTTTCCCTCCGCCTCCTTGCCTTTGTCCCCCGGCAGCCTGTTGCCTCGTGTGTGTGTGTGTGCCCTGGCCAGCGGTGCTGGGCTGGCGGGGTGTCGGGGCTCGGTCTTTTTCCATTCCCCTCCAGTGCACTGCCTTTCTGCCCTCCATCTGCCGGGGTTGCTGACGCCAGTGCCCGCACGGGGTCCCTAGCTTGAGCAAAAGCTCGAGGCCATGTGCCTGTACCAGGAGGGCGTGGCCATCCCGGCGGCCGAGGCCATGCTGGCCGAGGGCCATCGCAGCGCGGCCGCGGCCCAAGTGTCTCCGGCATACGGCCTGCCGCCGGGCGGCGGGGCCGGCCAGCCGCTGACCCTCTTCACAGCCTCCATCACGCTGAACCAGCACAAGGTTCGCGACTGGCTCAAGTTTGTACGTGCCCCCCCCCCCCCCCTCGGCGGCCTGTGCGGTCTCTTCCATGTGCCCCCTTTTTGGTGGGATTCTTTTTTCTTTTTTTTCTTGCTTTGGCATCGCGCCCCCGCCAGCGCCCCGCCTCTCCGAATGGCTCACCTGGCTGCCTTGTTCCCCGGGACGGGGCGGATGATCTGCAGAAGCGCCGCAAGCGCTCCGCGAAGGCCGACCCGAACCAGCAGAACGGCGGCGTGGTGTCGTCCTTCCTGACATCGTCGGCCCTGGGCGCGCGTGCGCCCAGCATCGAGGACTTCAACATTGTCAAGATCATCAGTGCCGGGGCCTTCGGGTGCGTGTTGCTTTCTCCCGGTGGCTCTCGCGCATTTCCTCTTGTGCCTTCCCCTCTCGCCCTGTGGCCCTTGCTGGCTCGGGACATGGACCTCTGTGCTCCGCTGACCGGATGTGGCTTTCTCCTTGTGCCCGGGGGGCTTGCTGGGTGGGCAGGACGGTGTACCTGGCGCAGAAGCGCATCACCGGCGACCTGTTCGCCATCAAGGTGCTAAAGCGCGCGGACATGGAGCGCAAGAACATGATGAACCACCTGTTCACCGAGCGCACGGTGCTGGCCCTGGCACGAAACCCCTTCGTCGTGCGGCTGTATTATGCCTTCTACTCGCGGGATTACTTGTTCCTGGTGATGGAGTACCTGATTGGCGGGGATCTGTCCAGCCTGCTGGAGGTGTTCGGCACCTTCGACGAGGACATGACGCGGTTCTACATTGGGCAGATCGCCGTGGCGCTGGATTACCTCCATCGGTGCGTGCCCCGTGTGCCCCTTGTGATGTGAGCCGCTCTCCCCCCTGCCATGCGCCCTCTGACACCCTCTGCCCGTGTGTGTGTGTGTGTATGCATGCATGCATGCATGCGCCCTTTCCTCCGCCCCAGGCACGGCATCACGCACCGCGACCTGAAGCCGGACAATGTGCTGATCACGGCCGACGGGCATGTCAAGCTGACGGACTTCGGCCTGGCACGGATCATCGTTGCCGGGGATGACACCTCGCTGCCGGTGTCGCCGGAGAATGTGAGCGACGACTCGTCGTCCGATGAGTCCCGACAGGGGGACAAGCGCGGCAAGCTACGACGCCGGGTACGACAGACACACACACACACACACACAAATGCGCGCGCGTGCGCGTGCGCGTCCGGCTGGGAGAGCCGGCTCCCTTGGCCTCGGCTCGCCCCCTTGCTGGGAAGCCTCCCACGGGACTGACCCCCCCCCCCCCTTGCCCCCTGGTCGCTGCCCCGCAGCGGACCTCGTCCAAGGCCCTGCTCGGCACCCCGGACTACCTGGCCCCGGAGCTGTTGACCGGCCTGAGCGACGGCCCGGAGGTTGACTGGTGGGCGTTGGGCATCTGCATGTATGAATTCCTGGTCGGGGCGCCGCCCTTCACCGACGACACGCCGGAGCGGATCTTCAGCAACATCCTCGAGCATCGGCTCTACTTCCCAAGCCCGTCGGACTATGAGGACGACGAGGAGGACGAGGACGAGGACGAGGACGAGGAGCAGCAGGCCATGGTACTGCCGGCCGCGGATGAGGGCCATGCCCCTATCGAGGAGGCCGCCCTCGGCAGCGACAGCGGCGCCCTCGGCAGCGATGCCAGCGATGGCTCGTTGCCGGGGGCGAACCGGCCGCCGGCCGCCGGCTCGATCTCCAGCGACCATGCCTCCTCCGGGGACGAGATCAGCCAGCCCCTGCGCGGTGGTGGCGACAGCCACGAGGAGGATGATGAGGAGGAGGATGGCGAGGATGACTGGAGTGACGATGGGGTTCTGTCGCCGGCCAGTGTGTCTCTCATCCATGCCCTGCTGAACCCGGACAAGACCAAGCGCTTTGCCTTCGCTGGTACGATGGGGGGCTGCCGATGCCTGGGCTTTCCTGCGTCCACTTTCGCCCCCCCCCCCCCCCCCCCCCC